TCGATATTATGTAAATGTTACCATTCGATATCATTAAAAATATATTTTATTATATTTGTTTTTAATAATTAACGATTTATAGCACTATGAACTAATTGATGGACATGGCGTCCAACGGTAAGGTTTCATACGGCATGCGCCTAAAATCACTAACTTTTAATGAGTCGGTGCGAATAACTTTTGAAAATCGATTTTGTACAAAGAAATACGTTTAAATAGTTTAAATCCCAACCATTTATAAAACCGATAGAAAAAAAACAACAAATCTTTTTTGCATTTCTTGTAGTACTGCGTTACCTGCTAAACTTTCTAGTTTATAGCTATGATAAAATATAAAAATATTTAGTTAAATCTTCAAAAGGTCAATTAATTTAGACGAAAAATACAAAAGAAATATCGATATCGGTCATACGTAGCATGCAAAGCATGCAGTAGCTATACTAGTGTGACACTTGTCTTTGTCAAAATGAAATAAATATACTAATTTAGTAATGAGAGAAAAGGATGGGTTTCAAGAAGACATCAACGCGTGCTGCATTTTTATAGAGTTACCTTTAATTGTCCACTATAATTTGAACTCAGCGATATAAAAATACAAATAAAATTTATATTACTGATGAAAAGTTACACCCATCTTTCTTGCAATTAGATATTCTGGATTTTTTCCATACCCTTTGACACTACAATTTGCCATGGTTATCCTAATAACCAGAGATGTGACTTATCTTAGATACAAGTATTTGAAATACAGATACAAGATACAAAATACGTATTTTCATCTTGTATCTAAAATACTTTTTTTAGGAAGTATTTTGTATCTTATATTTAAATACTTTTGTTTAGTATCTTAGTATCTTTTAAATACTTTTTCTGATAAAATACTTTATAAAAAGATTATTTCTTACATTTTATAAATATCACAAAACATTCTTTGCCTAAAACATACATATTTACAAAAAGAAAGTGTTCAATTATGAACGCAATGAATATTTAGTTAAAAATAACTCGAATCCAAACATTGTTTGGTGTCATTTAAAAAGTAAATGCCTAGAACTGAACGTACGCTTATACCGGTGTAATACACCCTCCCTAGTAAAAATTGATAGATGGCGCATAGGGCTTGAAATCGAATAACCAGTTACAAGCAATAAAAAATCTTGATTTATGTAAAAACCCGGTTATATGCTATAAATAAAACTCAGTATATCAATTAACTCATTATTAAATTTTATAATTTTTTTGCACATTATACTTTTTCCACTAACAACAGCATTCAAAAAGTTTATTTTTAAAGAAATTTCACTGTGAAATTCGATACATGGCAAATGCTTGAAATTATATCCCGTGAGCAAAGCAATTAATACTACTTTATTTTTCAAAAATACAACACAATCTGTGATGTAATCGTATGGTAGATTTTGCTTTAATAAGTAACCATTTAATTCAAGGGATCTTTATTGAAAAAAAAATAAAAAAATGGGCGGAGTCCTGTCTTAATATAAGGTCTTTACCTATGTAATTGCCGTTCTACTGTACTAGCCATTTAAAATCAAACTATTTTTTTTGGCTGATAATTCTAATATCAATTTATTTTTTTTAAATCGTCATTTGTTCAATAGTAAGTGTTTTGTTTTCAATGAATTTGAATATTTTTCGTCGTCATGGATAAGTTAAAAATTCGAGTAATTATGGAGTATATGTGCCATCGTGGCAGCAAAGCGGCACGTAACATTACAACGTTTGCAGAGCGAACACTACAAACGAACGCACCACCCGTTATTGGTTTACGAAAAGGTTGCTGTTTGGTGGTCTAACGCGGATGTATTTCATCACAGCTTCTTACCAAACAGGACGAGCATAACTGCAGATTTACTGTGTGTATTGTGAAGAACTGAACACAATGACGGAGAAGCTGGCACAACTCCAACCAGGTTTTGTCAATCGTTCGGTTCCACTGCTCCTGCACGACCACATACGACCTCATACTACACAATTGGCGGTACCCAAGCTACAAGAGCTGGGGTTTGAAGTTCTCCGTCATCCGCCGTACTTAACAGACCATGCGCCTACAGACTTCTTATTCTTCCAGAATTTGGATAACGTCTTAGCGGGAAAAAAATAAATTCCCGAGAGGCAGTACAAAATGCCTTTGAAGTATTTGTTGCCTCCCGTCCAGCTGATTTCTTCAAGAAGGCATCATTAAACTACCAATGCGTTGGCAAAGATGTATTGATTGCATGGGTGATTACTTTGATTAATAGAAATAAGAAAATAAAGCTTCATTTATTTTATTAAAATCGGAAATATCATAGATAAAGACTTAATTAATACTTCAAATCCGGTTGAGACCGGATTTATCCGATCAGATGGTAACTAATGGCGCATTACCAACAGTACCAGTAATACCAACTCTACGTCTTTTTAGGTACATCTACGTATTATAAGCCTTTCCTACAAACCAACGTACTATAATCAACCACAGAAGCTAAGTATTTTCTACTAAAAATTTTCAAATTAGCTTAACACACTAAAGGGGCATAATTTTCGGTAATTCTGCAAAAAAAGTTAATATACGTTCCGTTACATACTATCGCACATTCACCTCGTCACAAGTCACGCCATTAATTTTAAAAACCAAGTACTGTATTTATTTTTACCCATTCTCTTCATCTCACTAGGAAAAAATGAATTTTCATTTCTCCGTAATTTTACGTCGTAAGTAAAACCAGCTTTTTAAATAAATAATAATTTTATAATTAAATTTAAATAATTATTGTTGTTGTTATATTTCAGCAATTTTTCATTCACCATGCTATATTGAAAAAAAATATTATTAAAAAGGAACTAAAAAATTTAAAATAATTTAAACCTGATGTATTAAAAATTTGTATTTTTATATGTTACATTGTGATTGACAAACAAATAAAATGGAGGAAAAGTGGGTGAAATTTAGCTTGTACGAGGGTCAAACTGAAAGTTCTTAGAACTGGCCACTTATAAACAATATAATAAAAAAATAATTCTAAAATTTGAAAATATAACTCTTTGCCAATATTACTGAGTATATATTTCATTCATTTGTCATTTGTTTTACGATTTGGCGGCAAATTGAAAATTGTCTGTGTCACGTCATCATGAATTTAACACGAGAAAATTTTCGTGCAATGATTTTTTATGACTTTCGATGTCATTTAAGTCAACAAGAAAGTTATGATAGACTACGATTGGCCTTTCACGATGAAGCCCCATCTCGTGCGACTGTTTACAACTGGTTTAATGAGTTTAAACGTGGTCGCACTAATCTCACTGATGATTTACGTGAGGGACGGCCTTCTACGGCGACGACTGAAGATAACATCTGTGTTGTGCGGCGTATGATAGAGACTGACAAAAGAGTGACCTATCAACAGATTCGGACAAGCTTAGGCATCGGTATGAGTCAAGTGCACAAAATCCTCCACGAACATTTAGCGGTCAGGAAGCTTTGCGCCCGGTGGATACCTCATAATTTGACTGAGGCTCAAAAACTCCATCGTGTGGATTGGTGTCGTAAAATGATTGAAAGATTTAACGGAGGTGACTCAAATGCTGTGTTCGACATACTAACAGGTGACGAAAGCTGGATTTACTGTTATGATCCTAAAACCAAAAGACAATCTGCTCAGTGGGTGTTTCCTTTCGAGGAGTTGCCAACTAAAGTGAAGAGAGATCGAAGTGCGGGAAAAAAAATGGTGGCCTCGTTCTTTGGAAGGATAGGTCATTTTGCAACAATTGTGTTAGAGGATCAAAAAACAGTTTCTGCAGAATGGTACACTACCAATTGTTTGCCACTTGTCTTGGAAAAAGTTCGAGAGAAACGACCTCGCAGTAGGATCCTCCTTCACCACGACAACGCCTCGTCGCACACCGCCAAGCGAACGATCGACTATTTGGCGACATCAAACGTTGAATTACTGGGTCACCCGCCGTATAGCCCCGACCTCGCGCCTTGTGATTTTTATTTATTTCCAAAAATTAAAGAAAAACTTAAAGGAAAGCGGTTTATGAATGCTGAAGAAGCGGTGGCTGCGTATCGCGATGCCATTGAAGAGACCCCTAAGGACGAGTGGGCAAAGTGCTTTTCCCAGTGGTTCCATCGCATGCAGGCGGTGTATTGACGTGAATGGACAATATTTTGAAAAGTTATAATAAAACTAATAACTGGCTAATGTAATCAGTTTTTGATTTTCTAAGAACTTTCAGTTTGACCCTCGTAAGATTTGAGTACAAACACACTAAATAAAAGCTTACAAAAATTGTTTCTAATGAAAAATGCTTAAAAAATCCACTTACCATCTGGTCTAAGATTTAGGTTTTTGTGGTCTTTAATAAACAAACTGAAATTCAAATCTTTTTTAGAAAAGTATTTGTATTTATAAAAAGTATCTATAAGATACCTATTTTGTATCTAGTATTTCAAATACTTTTCTCGAAAGTATTTTGTATCTGGTATCTGAAATACTTAATTTAAAAGTATTTTGTATCTTGTATCCCAGATACTTTGTACAGGGTATTTTGTACATCTCTGCTAATAACTACTTTATTATAAAGATAAGTCTTCTCGTCAAGGCATATATTCACACATCGCACACTTGGTCGCGATTGAGGATTCGCATACGCGTATTACCACTTTTGTTAAAACGATCTATGCGGAATCATAGATGCTTGGCTAGAGCTTACCGTTTTTCATGCGGCATCTATAGGAGTTTATCTGTGGCCGGGATTAATCAATGAGCTAATGGCCACCTAATGGCGTTCGTGAATGGTAGGAGCACAGATGTAATAATTTTTGTTTGAGCAATTCACACTTTTTTATGGAAATTTTTGTAATTATTTTTCATCACTTTTGACTATGTAAATAGGATAAGTAATAGGTGCTGAGTGCCCATACTATTGCCCCAATATAATTAAAAAGTAGTATTGTATAGTAAGTGAGTGTATGTATATTTGTTACGTTGCAGCGGTACCGCACGCCGTCGCGGTCCCGGTCGCGGTCCCGGTCGCGCTCCGTGACGCCGCCGCACTGGCGGCAGGCGCAGCGGCGCATCGTCAAACTGTCCGATATCGAGGTGACCCATACATACATACATACACACATACATACACATATACATACATACATACATGCAACGCCCCGTGACGCCGCCGCACTGGCGGCAGGCGCAGCGGCGCATCGTCAAACTGTCCGATATCGAGGTGACCCATACATACATACATACACACATACATACACATATACATACATACATACATGCAACGCCCCGTGACGCCGCCGCACTGGCGGCAGGCGCAGCGGCGCATCGTCAAACTGTCCGATATCGAGGTGACCCATACATACATACATACACACATACATACACATATACATACATACATACATACATGCAACGCCCCGTGACGCCGCCGCACTGGCGGCAGGCGCAGCGGCGCATCGTCAAACTGTCCGATATCGAGGTGACCCATACATACATACATACACACATACATACACATATACATACATACATACATGTAACGCCCCGTGACGCCGCCGCACTGGCGGCAGGCGCAGCGGCGCATCGTCAAACTGTCCGACATCGAGGTGACCCATACATACATATACGGGGCGTAGTCCCGGTGACGCAGCTTGTGCGATTAGCGAGGGCGGTGGAGGCGGGGCCGCGTGTAGCCCTCATCGTGGTGGGGGGTAGTCGGTGGGGCGAGTGAGGCTCAAGGAGACAGTCTTCCGACTAGCTTTTGAGAAGATCAGCAGAACGACTGCCTAATTCTAGCCACAGGATACGACATCTTGTTATGACGATATTTCGTTTCATATTGCTACTTTTACATGTCGTTTACTGGATAAACTACTATCAAATCCATAATAGGGATGAAGACAACTTTTTTATATTTTGATTTTGTACAAATCGATGCTGGAAAGCAAAAACGTAGTAATCTGGATATTAAAAGTGGATGTTTTTTATATTTTCCAAAAAAAAAATCCTCTTTCCGTATAAATTGACTAAGGATCACCTTATATGTTACCATGGACGTTTATAGGAAATATTTATCGAATAAAAATAGTTTTTCTGCTCTAAAGAACAACTTTGGTTTTACAGGTTACTATGTATTTGCTTTCCAGCATTGATATACATAAAATATAACTAAAACAAAAACATTCATATAATAAATTGAGATTTAACGCGAAAACGCCACTTCTGTCATGGCGTCACTATGACGTCACGGCCCTCTGAAACCAATATCGTTTATTCGTTTGTACCAGGAAAAAAAATCATGAGTTCGAGTCTCATCTCAGAGTGTGAAAGTGGGTTTTTTATAATAATTAGAACAAATTTTCATCTGTATCGAAAGTTTAAATATTTATAAAAATTATTTCTTTCGGCTGTTTGCGGGTGGATTGCCTGAACATTGATGAGAATACGCTCTGTAGTAGCGAAAAAGTAACAAGTGCTTGAAAGATTCGTCAGTCTTGTTAGGTTCCGGGTAGCTCAGTGGTTAGGGCGTTCGCCCGGATAGCGCAAGGTCATGGGTTCGAGTCCCATCTCATAGTGCCAGGGACAAAGTGGCATTTTTAAGCAATATTTTAAATACAAAGAAAATAATAATATGGATTTATTTTCGTTTACTGTATTTATCATTCTTTATAGTTCGTCGTTGTTAAAGTACATGTTAATAAATATCGCCACAACATGGGTAAGATGTCCTATCCTATCCTTTCCGTAAATAGATGGAATTCCACCCAATGGTCCAATTTCAGAAGGTGTTAAATAAAAAACAATAGGCAGGCAAATACATACAATCGTATGGAGCAAGCGAATGATGTGCGCTTCGAGACGTGGTTAGTCTCACACTGGCGATCGGGAAGGCGTGTCAATGAGGAAGTATTTTAAGAAAAAAAAAAGAAAACACTAATAAAGCACCTCACTAGATGGCGACTCTACCAAAAGTTGATTTTTGCAAGAAAGTAATGGACCAAAAATAGTCGTTTCCGCTTCTTTTAACTAACATAAAAAACGAAATTAGCAAAGTTCAAAACTTAGATATAAAACAAATACGAAAAAGTACAAATAGAATACGAGTTGTTTATTCAGTAATAATTAATTTATTTTTTATACATGAAAGAAAACCGGAAGGCGATTTCATGGAGAAATCAAGAAAGTACCGTAGCGAGATCTATTTTCATTTCGGGAACTAATGTTTTTTTTTCAATATTTCCTGATTACTTGTTTTCAAAAGGCTTCGGATCGCTGTTGATGCGAAAAACAAGCGTACAATAGGATGGCATTAAGTAGCTAGTACAGCGCGTAAGCTATACTTGCGCGTGCGTGGTTAATGATATGCGCTTTATAGGTTAGGTCTGATAATATTTTTTATTATTTTAATGTATATATTGTAAATATTATTCTTTTATATTAATAATGTAAATATATAGGTATAGGTAATTTTTTATGTAAGTTAATAAGTTTCATTGTAAGTTTATATTGTTTTTAAAAATATAAATAAATTAATGGATTTTGAATAAATATACTTAGATAAAATATAAATATATAACATGAGACGCCACAGACCTAATACAGCGCATACTATGGCTTTTTTAATCTTAGAAATTGTCAACCCTCTATGGGACGCTGAGCTCACGCCGTACCACAATGAACAGTACTCTACGGAAATAATACAGACTTCTATGGATATCCTTATGTATCGTGTATTTTTAACGTTTACATAATAAATAGCGTCGTGGTTCGTTCTTTCATCTGCCCTAACTTATAAAATAATAATAATAATAATAATAATATAATCTTTATTGCACACATACAGACAGGAAAACAAAACGAAAGTACACGGTAAACAATACAGAGTACACAAAAGGCGGCCTTATCGCTAAACAGCGATCTCTTCCAGGCAACCTATGGAGGAGAATAATAAAAGGAAAGGCAAAATATGGGGTATTGGGTGCAATAGTCAGAAGGGATAAGATATATCTTACACATATATTACATACATTTTAAATAAGAAAGTATAAGTAAATAGCATTAGCATAGAGAAAGGAAATAGCTTTCAACTCGATCGCCGAAAGAATTTAGAGAGCGACTGTTCCTGACATCCTCCGGGAGAGAATTCCATAAACGCACAGCATGTACAGAAAAGGAATAGGAGAAGAAATCGGAAGTATGACGCGGGATGTCCAAAGTGAGGTTGGATGAGGATCGCAAGGAACTCAGTGACAAAGAAGAACGAAAAGAGAAACATTGTTTGAGATAATGTGGAGAGGAAGGTAGGAAAAGTATAGAATATAGTAACTTTAAAGTATGTAAGTCCCTGCGCCGGCGAATAGGGAGCCAAGACAATCTGGAACGAAAATTCGACACATGGTCAAATTTACGAAGGTTGAAAATGAATCGGATACAAATATTCTGCAGACGCTCCAATTTGTTAAGAAGTTCCTCTGATAGATCCGTGTAACAAACATCAGCGTAGTCTATGATCGATAATAATAACGAATACGCTAAAGAGACTTTAGTTCTAGTAGGCAAAAAGTTGCGTAGTCTATTTAGTGAATAGTACGTGGCAAATACCTTTTTTCTAACGGCCTCCACCTGCGGCTTCCAAGAAAGATTTTGATCGAAGATGACGCCAAGGTTTCTAACTGTTTTTGAATAGGGAATTACAAATCCGTTGAAAATTACTGAAGGTAGCAATTCAGAACTAACTCTAGAAATGTAATGAGAACTGCCAATTAGAATCGCTTGAGTTTTAGAGGGGTTCACAGTAAGACCGAATGAATCACACCATTTACTAATGCGAGACAGGTCAGAGTTTATCACTGAGACTGCCTCTGATAAGTGCGAAAAAGGCGCTTGGGTATAAATTTGAAGGTCATCGGCATAGAGGTGATAGGAACAAGAAAGTAATTCAGTTATGGAATTTATAAATATAGAGAAGAGAAGAGGAGATAAGACGCCACCCTGAGGAACACCAGCTTTGATATCGCACCACGTAGAGACGGACTCGTCAATGTGGATCCTCTGCCGGCGTCCTAGCAGGTAACTTCGAAACCAGGCAATTGCAGCTGGAGATATGTTGAGAGAAGTCATAACACCGAGAAGGATGTCAAAATCAACCGTATTGAAGGCATTGCTAAAATCTAACAACGTCAACAACGTAAGCTGACGATTTTCCATCCCTCGTCGAATATCATCAGTAATCTTTACCAATGCAGTAGTAGTGCTATGGCCAGTACGAAAGCCGGATTGAAATGGATTAAGAAGGTGGTTTGAATTAAGAAAAGCCAGTAACTGACGGTTTACAAGTTTTTCAAGGACTTTGGAGAGAAATGGAAGAATGGAAATGGGACGGTATTCAGAAAACGATGATGGGTTTGCCTTTTTTGGGAGAGGAATTAGATTTGCATCTTTCCAAGATGAAGGAAAAACTCCAGATGAGATTGAAGTATTCAGAATCTTAGTTATTATCGGGGACAGGATATGAATTAGAGGTAGGATCATTTTGCGACTAATGGAATCACTACCCACTGCACTGGAATTGATCGACAAGATAGTTCTCTCGACATCACAGTCCGCAAATTGGCGAAGGAAAAATGGAGAATCAAGAGTTGGTAGACTTGAAAGATGATGTAATGTTTCAGCCTTACGATTGCCGTCAATAGGGGCAGAAGTAGAGAAGTAGCTATTAAGTTTGTTAATGTCGAGGTTGGTATCGGACATTTTATTATGAGATTTTCCAACTCCAAGAGATTTTAGGAATTTCCACACTTTCCTAGAATCTTGATTATTCACGGATTCATGAATATAGCGTCTTTGGGCGTCCCTTATCACAGTATTGCACCGATTTCTAGCGCGATTGTATTTAAGCTCATTTTCATTTGAAGAGTCAGCCCTGAATTTCGCCTTAGCCCTATTCCTCCTTCGCATCAATCCTTTTATTTCTTCCGTTAACCAAGGAGCCGGCAAACATTTGATTTTAATAGGCCGTACTGGAGCATGTATATCGTAAAGATCTGTCAGGTACTTATTAAACAGTTCGACTTGTTCATCCACTGAATTTGTGGCGTAAATTGCAGTCCAGTCTATCTTAGCAGCATCTTCACGCAGAAGATCCTCATCAATGCCTGTAAAACCACGCTGAAGTTGAACCGTCGGCCTCAATTTAGGAGAACGAATTTTGTATGATAAATAAACTAAATCGTGGTAGGAAAAAGCATCAGCAGAATATTGACCGTGCTTAATAGCGAAAGAAGGAGAAGAGACTATTATAAGGTCAAGTAGAGAAGGAGTACAGTTGGGAAAATGGTGAGTTTCCTTTAACGGAAGAATGTGTAAATTTAACGAGTTAACTAAGGATAGTAACTTTTTGGAGCGGAAGTCATTTTTACTTAAACAGGTATTAAAATCACCCATTATTATAGTATGGGTGTAAGAAGGACTAAAATTTTCAAGGAGATGTTCAAATGAATCGAAGTAATCAACTCGTAGAGAGGGGCTATAGAATACACATAAGAGAACCTTGGTATGATATAAAGAGATCTCAAGAAAAAGATGCTCGGCGCTATTGGGGGGTGGCGGCTGGGATGATCTGCTTAGGACGGAAAATGGAATATGGGTACGTAAATAGATAGCCACCCCACCATGAGAGGAGCTTACACGATCGTTACGGACTAAATTAAATCCAGGCAAAGTATAGGAAGTGGAAGATAGACAGGGATTAAGAAACGTTTCAGAAACTAGGATGGCATGGATATTCTTGCAATCAAATGATGCAAGCATGTCTGAAAAATGAGCAGGGATACTCTGTGCATTTATGTGTACAGCATTAAAATTTTTGCTAACATCACAGAAGGTGTCAGTAAGAAATTCGTTCAGCGGGCGCGAGACGCTTTGAAAGCTGGAATCAGAAGAGGAAGAAGAGGAACTGGATAAAAATATATCATCATTTAAAGATATATCCATAATATAAAATATATATATATATATAAATTGAATAATATTTAAATACAAAATTAAACATATATGTAAATACCCACAGGTTGTCGGAAAGAAAATACTTACAATCATGGTAAATAACAAAAAACAACAAATTACACATTACAATTCACATAAAAAAAAAAATTATAATTAGATACATTAAGGTTGTAGGTACAAATTAAGATAAATGTCGCTATCAACACAACAAGTAATTTGCGTTTGAAAAAGTAATTGATAGAAAAACCCGTGGAACAACAAAACATATTCAAGGCTGTATAAGTCAAATCCTTGGTCATGATCAAAAACAAAAATAACTGCCAAAATGTCAGAGTGACATTATGTCAAACGAAAGAAAAATATGATCGTGAGAATAGATACATAAAATAAGAGAACGAAAAAAATAAATTGAATATATGTACCTACATGTTAAAAAAGTAAGTGGTATACAAAGACAACACTGAATATAAAAATACATAGATGAAACGATTAATTGAATGGAAGGTAAGTACGAAAGACAAAACATATTTAAGTAAATTCAGACACTATAAATAGCATGTGAATATAAAAAAGAAAACATAAACGTACATACTATTTTCTTTTTACAGAGACTGCCCGCTTGCCTTTTATGCCACTGGTAGATGGATGAACTTTTTTCTCCCTATTGAGAGTGATGGTGGGACCCGTAGCAGCATCTTCTGGCGCTTCCAATTTCTCAACATCGGAAAGAGAATATATACGCTGTCGTTTGCCAGTGCTATCGATGACGTTTATACGGCCTGCACTTGTCCAACACTTTGAAACACCAAACCGTTGTCGAGCAGCAACAAATATATTATGGCGATGCTTAGTGAGAAATTCAGACATCGTGATCCCTGTGCCTTTCAAACGTGTCTTCGCCATCCACAAGTCATCCCGTACTACCTCAGACTGAAATTTTACAAGAAGCGGCCGTGGCTTGTTGTCCTGGACCCGACCCAACCTTGTTGCCTGGCTTATATCATTAGGAATAAGTTGCTTGGCGTTAAAGTGTTGAGTTGCTAAATCCAAGAAAACCTTGATCTGATCTTCATCTCTTTTGTCGGGAACACCATGAAGCAGCAGCATGTTACGTCGACTCCTCATCTCCAAACTATCACATTCAGTGATGAGTGAAGCAACCTGCCTCTCTAGGTTTTTAAGAGTGTCCATTACAAAACCACGGAACGCTTCGAACTCTTCAGCCAATGAAGACAGTGAAACTTGCTGCGGGGAGCTTGTCTTGTTGAGTCGACTCTCAAAAGCTGCCATTCTCTCGGAGAAAGATAATGTAAGGGACTCAATAGTGCCTCTGAGGTCCTTCATGTTGACTGAATTAGTGAAGTGAAGTGATGGAAAAGATCAAACTATTGAAAAGTGTAACAGGAGAGTAGATAACTGTTGTGGGTACTTATTAGTGTCAGTACATACTCCAAACACTAAATAATATTAAAAAATATTATTATTATAAATAAAAAAAAATATTAAAATATAGAGCTGTTAAAATAACGTCTATTCATTTATCTTCCTACCCCCAAAAAAAATAGTTATTACTCACTTACATCTAAAACTCACCTATGCGCGACGTATAAAGTTAGTCTTATTTATTTTAAGAGTCTAGTGTCCATCGCTTAAGCTGGCAAATTATTGTTTTAGGTGAAAAAATAGACATAGGTATTACCAATACCCGGTGTTTAAATCATTTTTAACATATTATAAATAATATATAATAATATTATAAATAAATCATATATAAATATATGACCTTTAGTTATTATATTGTGTTCGCAGCGCGTTGAGCAAGAGCGTTCTGAGAAACAACATCAAGCCGAGATGAGACAGAAACGCGCAGAAAAATATAATAGTAAGTACACACCTGTATAAATATAAAATAACAATTATTGATAACGCAAAGAAACAGATATTGCCTTCAATGTTGAATGTTCATTTTCAATTGACACTATACTTTATTTTGATTCAATATAAGTGTTATTTTCGTATAAATATGAAATTACGCACCAAATAGCGTTTCTACCTACGTATTACACTAATACTGAACCCTCATGAGTTATAAAGGTTAGTCTTATAAATTTTGACGTAATACTTTTTTATTATTATTATAGTAGCTGACGGTTTTAATTTAATTCAAGTCTATATTTTAAGAAACCTTAATTTTTCGCCTTTCGTGCATAAAAACCTCGTGTTTTTAAAGCGTAGCAATCTCAGTTTTGATTTATTGCAGGTTCAGAAAAGATTTTTGAACTATAATCTCGGGTCTGGGTGGTTATGATACATTCTGATTTTTATAGCACAAGGACTTTATTAACTTTAGATAAGATATCTATTTATGATATTCATGTGTTTGTTTATTAAATAGTGGATCAAGAGCCGGGTACTCCTGAGCAGCCCAGGGAGAAAGAAGAGGGTGAATGTGATACTACAATGGGTTTGTGTCAACATACAAAATAAATATATATTTTTTTTTTCAGTGCAGTTGCTCATAAAGCGCTATTTTTTTAATCCATTGTCAACACCGAAAGTGAGTCTTTAAACACGTGTAAAAATGTACTGAAATCCTTTACTGCACACGTGCTTAATAGTATTTTTTTTTTGGCTGAACACCAAAGAAATAAAAAAAAATAATAATATGTCAAATTGATGAAAATATGTCAAACTTTAGAGGGAAAAGTATTTCAAGGAGCCTAGAACGAATATTTTCAAATAAAAATGTATGACACGAAAACATGTTCAAATATCACGTTTAATTTTAACAAATAATTATGACCTTTAAAACATAATTAGTTTTATTAACCTATATATTTGTTTTATTTCCTCGCAAAAAACATTGAAAAATGTTGTAAGAAACTTGAGCGTAAAAGGTTTTTCGAATTCGTGCCAATGAAAACCCTCGCTACGCTCATGTTTTCAATTTGGCCCTTATTCGTAAAACCTTACTTTCGGCACTCGTATCTTAAATAACTATTATGTAACCAATGTAATATGGAAGTTTTCCAAATAAAATAAATAATAATCAATCGTTTACATGACTATAATTAATTTTGGAAATATTTATATAACTCGTAAAATACTCCCTTATTTTAAGAAAAAAAGAAAGCAATAAAAAAGCACCTCACTAGATGGCGACTCTACCAAAAGCTGATTTTTGCAGGAAACAAATGGACCAAATATAAACTAATTTTTGATTGTGTATATGAGTGTTAATGCTTGTAATAAAATGAAATAAATAAAAATATAGTCATATCCGTTCCTTGTGACTAACATAATAAAAAACTGAAATTTGCAAAGTTCAAAACTTAGATATCGAAAAAGTGCGAATAGAATATGAGTTGTTTATCGAGTTTTGAAAATTAATTTACTTTTATACATGAAAGAAAACCGGAAGGGTTTACATGGAGAAATCAAGAAAGTACCGTAGCGACATCTGATTTGATTCCGGGAACTAATGCTTTTTTTAAATACTTCCTCATAGTAGTGACTCGAATTTTTCTATTTCTTTTTTTGGCTCTTATGTCGTGGTAATTAATGTTCACATTTGTTCGCAGAAAAGTCTACTCACGAAAAAATAGATTACAACGCGTTAGACTTCGAGGAGGACGTAGAACATGACGGTAAACCATTTATATGATATATAAATAGATATATTAATTTTATATAATTGTAAACTTGATTATTTTATCTCTGTTATAACACTTTTACTATAAAAAGAATATGTGATCGTAAACCTGATTTTCAATTGAGAACACAAGCAATTACTCTTTAAATATAAATTAAAATTTTTTATATATAATAATATTGACGTCAGAAAAGAATTGTATTCAACAGAAGACGCAGATGCGTCCCATAAACGCAGATATACTGACAAGGCGGAACATCGCCGCCGCGACAACCGGGACTTGCGGGACAACCGGGACTTGCGGGACAACGTGAGGGAAGCACGAGACACCAGTAAACACCCGGAGAGTCGCGCTGATATGCTCGCTCTAGCTCTCGGTGTGAATCCCAAACATGACAAGGACACAGATAGGCCGAGGTATCTTTGTTTTTTTTTTTTTATAAATTTCACCATTTATACAACGTGTCCCAAAATTCAACGATAAGCGGGCGCCAAGAGGTAGATCTGCTCATGTGTACTTATGGAAAAATAAGAAAAAAATCTTTTTTATTATAAAATTAAATTCGAAAATCTTCGAAAATTTACACCTTTTATGATATTTTCAACTACCACGACCACAACTTCTCAATTATGTTCAATCTTTTTTTGGTATCGGATACCTAAGTAAAAAAGTAAAAGTAAAAGTAAGTTGAAAATATCATAAAAGGTGTAAATTTTCGAATTTTATTTTATAATAAAAAAGATTAATAAGATATAATTTATTTCTTATTTTTCCATAAGTACACATGAGCAGATCTACCTCTTGGCGCCCGCTTATCGTTGAATTTTGGGACACGTTGTATAATTGTTTTAAAGCAGGGTTCGCAAAAATACGATATTTATAATAAATATCAAAATATTTGATACTAGCTAGACATTGTGTGGTTAATTAAAAAAAGGTGGGGAGCGTATCCATGACATGTGTAATGTAAGAAAAATAAACATTTCACAGATCTCAAACAAAGTGTTAAAATTTTATAATAATCTGAAGCATAGATGGTATATTAATACCCAGACAAAAAAATCTTATTTACACTAGGGTTTCCCAAACTTTTATCTCCATGAGCCTACGTAAAAAATTCTAGATGACAGTGAACCCCTTGAATAACTAATCAAATTCCGGAGAAAATAATTAAATTGGTTTTTGTTAAAGATAAAGTTTTTATTTAAATAATATGGTGAATTTTACACGATTTTAATCTTCATCGTCAAGGCATCGAGGCACCATAACATATATCTTGTCGTGTATTCCCTACCGTGCAGTGGCGAAGCCATAGGTGTTTGCGTACCCCACTTTAGAAATGCTGATCTATACCATGCTTCAATAGGGATGACGACTATTTTTTGTTTGTTGGTCCGTCAGGTAAAGTGTTAAAAAATATTAAACACGTATTTTTTTAACGTTTCGTAATCATAAAATTACGGCGCTACATGGAGTTGAAATTTCGCATGACGTCACGTTATGGTACGTTTTCTACTCAACTGTGACGTAGCGAGCCCCCACTCCTCAACTTTAACGCCTGTTATCTAAGCTATTTCTTGTTAAATTGTCGTAAAAAAATACGTATCTAATATTTTTCTATTATCTGACTGACGGACTAAATAGAATTGCATTTTTTTTACCCAGTCTTTATCCCTATTTAATAAACTGAAGATGAATGCTGCATGCTTCGGAAGGCACATTAACTCTCCAATCCGCATTGGGCCCGCGTCATAGTCCATCCTTAACCATCCATAAAGTAGGCTTGAGCTCTATTTTTGATTCACTCGTTTTAAATCGCCTTGCCGTATACGACTTAAGTCACGCTCGACTAGAAGTCGCACGATGCCGTTTATAGTATTTCTGAATCGTCCGTCTGCAGCCACGATGATACGAAATATTGTATTTTGTTCTTCGTATTATATGAAAATTAATGGAATTCATTTCACCGTCATTGGTTTATTTCATGTTTTGACGATTATTCTATCACTCGCATATGGCGTTCGCAAACAACGATTGGTTCATACTCGTTGCAGTCGAGCGAATCAGAAATGGTGAATTTTGTAGTAATTTGAAATAAAAAGAAATACCTTTTACGGACAATTGGTATATATTTTAGTAACACGAAAAAGATTACAAAATGGATGACACTATTCTAAAAATAGATAAGCGCGAGATGGCGCTAGTTTATTCAGCAAATAGGGTTGCGTTCCATTACACTAACAAATTTGTTATGTTATATATGTAAAAATCAGTAGAAAAACGAGCGCTAGACGCGAGACGAATGATTCAAAAATAGAGCTCCTGAGCCCCTGCAGCGGGCCCTTCACTTTACATGAAGGGGCTGATGATGAAGAAAAATAACATAAGCTAAGTTATATGTGTTTATGTCGATAGAGATTTTCGTGAAAATCGTGATATGCGTCGCCGCGAAGTATCGTCTATAGTGCATGCGGCTCCCAAACTGTCGTCGACGGTAGCGCACGTGACGGAACCTCCGCTCAAACCTGCGCAAATGAACCCCAACGAGTACGACCCCTTCACTCTACTGCGCAGCACATTCAACCGGGACAAGAAGGATAAACCTAAAGATTCAGGGTACGTTTCAGAATCAACAATATAACTAACTGTTATTTATTTATTTATTATAATTGAAACCAACAGCGTTACAAATAATAGTATAGGTTATAACAAGCTTAACATTAAGGCCAATAAAAAAACTGTTAATTTAATTGTCTCCTGACGTTGTTTGACATTCCTTTTTTTTATCAATATGTGATAATATATTGCCTAAATGAAATGAATTAAAAATATGATTGCCAAAGTCGAACTGAAAATAGACGAAACAAGTTGTATTATGGCTTGGCTAAACAAAAGTCTCGGGAACCGTTCTGTGGAATATTTGTAATTGAAGAGAATTTTGTTTGTTTTTGTTTGCCCAAACTAAAATACAACTTGTTTCTTTTTTTTAGTTCCATATTGGCAGTCTTGATTTTTAAATTATTAATTTATTATATCTTTGAAAGTTGATATTACAATCTGGGCTTAGTTGAGCACACTTTGTGAGAAGCTGATTTTTAAATAAGATATAATATTTGAGTCAATGTAGAAAACAATATTTAAAAATACATGTTTTCGAGTTTCACGGACTTGGCGTTGTTAGATGTGAATATGTTATTGAATATTTCAGCAGGAAAGAAGAGCGCGAACGCACCGAGATTCGTCCCGACAATCGCCGGGAGAAAGAGAAACCCAAAGAAAAAGAAAGAGAGGAGAAAAAAGATCGTCACAGAAACGAAAGAGAGGAAAGAAAGCAACCGGCGAGGAGTGAGAAACACGATAAAGATAGAAAGTTACCGGAAAAGAGTGATCGTCACGAAAGAGAGCGTAAGCATTCGGAGAAGAGTGACAAAGATGATGCTAGAAAGGAGAAGGATGATAGTAGAAAATACGTTGAGAAAAATGAACGAGACCGTAAGTATTCTGAAAGAAGTGACAAGGATGGTAAGTCGGATAGAAAGGATGATGAGCGCGACCGTTCGAGGGAGAGAGACAGACACAGGGAGAAGAGTGAGAGGCATAGAGATGATAGAGAAAAGGACAGGAAAAAGAAGAGATCTTCCCGTTCCAGCAGCAGGGGCAGGTTAGTTGAATTTTAATACTTTAAAGTGTATTCGGAATCTGATGTTACTAAATATATAAATTACTTGTTTTATGATAATTATATCTTTATCTAATAGATCCAGGACTCCAAAGCGGGATAGCAAGCGATCCGTCTCAAGAGATAAGCGTGACAAAAGTAGGGACAAATCACCAAAAAATGAAGACAAGAAAAAGGTAAACAAAATATATCAAACAATTAATTTGTATATAAATTCGTCAAATCTATACATAGTATAAAAGAAAGACGCTTCCCGTTATCTGTACAAAATACAGAGTGACTCGAGAGGAAGGTTTATATGTATAATACAGGTCATGCGGACGAAGCTGCTAGCGGAAAAAAAAAACTTATTCTACTTAGGGCCTTATTACATATTGACCGTGATTTTGCTTAAAATGGTATATTTTGGCGTTCTTCATCTCGGAATTAAAATATATATTACTGTGATTTATTGAATAGTGTAGAATACTTATTGGAATAGTTAATCCAAAACTGTGGAGAAAGATGTTCATAAAATGCTGCGCAATGCTTTAGCTATTGGTTTAGCAAATAAAAAAAAAAGAATGTTATCTCTTATATGGTCGTATAGTTGGCAGCGGCCTTGAAAATTTGAAATATCATTGAATGAATATATCAAAACAAAAACGTATTATTAAGCAAAAAACTTCAAATATAACTATAAGTTATTCCTTTTATTCTATCGACGATAATATTGTTTTTACCAGAATAATGAGGAAGTATTTAAAAAAAGAAAGCACTAAAAAATCACGTCACTAGATGGCGATTTCAGCAAAAGTTGATTTAGCAGGAAACGAATGGACCAAATATAGTCGTTTCCGTTCCTTTTAACTAACATATTAAAAAACTGAAATTTGCAAAGTTCGATACTTAGATATCGATACAAATACGAAAAAGTACAAATAGAATATGAGTTGTTTATTGTGTTTTCAAAATTAATATACTTTTATACATGAAAGAAAACCGGAAGGGTTGTCATGGTGAAATCAAGAATGTAACGTAGCGACATCTAGTTTGATTTCGGGAACTAATGTTTTTTTAAATACTTGGTCATTATCACTTCATAAGGAATAAAGATTTCATAATTTTTAAGCAAAAATTTTATTTTCCTATTTCAATAAAAACGATAAATATAACTGAAAAATCACTACAAAATACGTTGCGTCGGTTGGCCTAGCTCAATTTGTATGGCCGCGTAGCGAGTTTGTCTGTATTTGTAATAGGGCTCTCAAATCCGCCCATCCTCTTGTGTCACTTTTTCTATAGTATCAGTGTATATATTATTTTCCATTAATGAAAAGTTGCATTTTTATTCTATTTAAATTTTTTCGAAAGGTTGAGAAATTTACGACGGGTGATGTTCTTTGTACTGACAAGAATCGGCAGCAAGGGTTTTCTTTTCTTCCAGTTTTGTTTCATACAGACATGTCCGATTTCAAAATGGACTTCTAAGCATATGCTTACAATTTTACGTTGTTGCCTAATATCTTACTTGTAAAGAAAGCATGAGGAAGCTCGAGATAATATCCATACTCTAACCACTGCATCATGGAGTCTAACAATATTTATATTTAAAGTAAATACGTGTATTTTTTTGTTTTTGAAAGGAGGAGGAAAGAAACGAAGCCAGGAAAGAGTTAATGGAGATAGTCCGTCTCATCAAATCCAGGCAGCGAGACAGAGAGAATAAAGCCGCAGGTATTTTTCTTTCTTCAAATTTGTTATATTCCAAAAAAAAAAAATTAACGAAATTGCACATAAACTAAGATTTACATCGTAATAAAAATAGATATTTATTTGAATCTTAAAATCGCACGATTATGTTGTCCTAAAATCAAAAGCTGAGATTTTTTGTCTGTGTGTCACGTGACATGAAATACTAGCCGCCATTGTGTGACGTCACAGTGGCGAGAACGAATTAGTTAGTCATCAAGATAAGGTTAATAATTGTAAATCAAAATGTTAGATGTCATTGTTCTTTTTTTATTGATATCTTTTAATCTTGTGCTCCATGTATCCGTTTTGTGTACATATCATATCATGGACAGTGTTTTCGGGGATATAAAAAAATACTAAATTTAATTTTAAGGCAAGAAAAGATGTTTAGTTTGCCAAAATACTTGTTATAAGACTTTTTTTATTAATTTAAACAGAGTAGAATACCCTATTCCACCTGTTGAATATGAGTGACACGGTCATCTAATGTTTTGTACTTTACACCTTATGTTTATTGAAAGAAGACTCGTTATTAATATCATAGTATAATCGGCAATGGTAGCTACTCTTCTCAAAGATCTGTTCATCATTACTTTTGTTTGTTTCACAAGCAGAAGCCAAAAAGAAACGTTCAGCGTCCGCCAGTTCCTCGGACTCCGGACACGATCGCAAGCGGCGCCGCTCCACCGACAGGAAGAGGAGTGAGAGTCCCAGGTGATTATAATATAGTCCAGTGGTTCACAAACTTTTTGGGTGATTGTACTCTTTTGAAAAACCACATATTTAATAAAACAATATGTAGGTTTATGTGTGTTGTTTATTTATAATGAATAACTTCCATATTATATTTAAAAAAAATAGTGACCGATATTTTAGTGAACCTCAATATAGACTGGAGGAATTCTGCTTGGGCTAAATGGGTCAGTCCAAATTTAAGAAATGCTTTTTGATATCTTTATATGTGGATCGACGCAAAAAACTGCTTATGCTTTAGGAATTAAGATTAAGAAAAGTATGATTAAGGCATTTTTATAAATATTTTAACTTTCAATCAATCAAATTTATTATTTTAATTTAAAACACTAAGTTGTCGAACCCCCAATTTCACCTTACCAGACAATGTTTACTATTGAAACAGCAATTTATGTTAGCGCAAAAAAAGTGGCGGTTCATGTTCTAATTCGTTAGTTGTAATATTTTATAAATATCATTATCATGTGTGTTGTAGAGCGCGTCGCGGCAGCTCTGATCGTCGTCGCCGCCGACATCACTCCTCGTCGGACCGTTAAAAATAAATAAATACAAAACCAAATGTAGATAGCAACACTGGACCAGATGTTTCAACTGTTATATGACAATCGGATGTTGTTATGCAAACTTGAAATAACTATATAATAAAACTTTTAAATAAACATAATCATCAAACTTTAATATCAAAGCGCTTTTAATTGCACTTTCTAAGATTTAACTCAATGTTTTTCGAAATTAAAACAGCAGTTCTTATATACATATTTTACTTTAACTCTGCTGAAATGTGACAAATAATTTCGTGGGTCCCCGAATTACGCTTTGTGTAGCCTAAGTGCATTTTGAGAAACACTGTAAATTTGTTAACTAGATTTCTGTATAAAGAAGATAGATGTTAAGCCATTAAAAGAAGTAGATAATTATGCTATTTGCCACTTGAGATAATAATTTGATTTCATTCATAAATCTTTGTTTTTGATATTCTAAACCTATTTATTATTAAATAAAAAGAATATCTATCATAAAAATCTATACCAAATGCTGAAATATTTAAACTCTAAACAAACTGATTTTTTCGTAACTTAACGAAGGCACTCTTTGATATTGTTTGAAAACCGGTTGTGACCGGTATTTAATTTATACATATACATAAAGACAAAACAATTTTCTCGATAGTACAGATAAGGCGGTGGTCAAGTTAATATAACCACATCCAATTGTTAATGAATAACTAACATATATCATTGTGTTATGCTGTCCTTAGAACGCTATTTAGTAATTTCGATAAAATTTGTAATTAATTTAAGAGTTGAAAATATCATAAAATTATATTCACAAATAATAGTAATTCATTGTTTTTTGTGTTAAATAAATTATTTAAATGTTTTGAAACTTAACAAGGAGGAACTTGTAACTGTTTAAAATACAAATTGCGAAGAAATAATCATGCTATTGTAAATTAATAAACTTGAAAGTTTCGAACTGCGTATGTTTTTCTAACCACTATTGTGTAGAATGAGGATAGACAACAATATTCCTAGATCTGTTGACTTTATAAGGTTTAAAAAAAACATTATTAATTTATAAACGTGTTAATAAAAAAACTCACATATAAGCCATAAATAAGATCATAAGGTTGAAAATTCAATGTATTATTTTAATGTATTGTTGTATATTGTACTGTATGTTTGAACCCAATTAGCGTGAGATGCGTTTATGCCAACCAATGGTTTAGGTAATTTATATTATATTTATCGTAAATAAATACTAAAATGAACTCTATGATATATTAATAAGACACATAATAGTATTAAACGATTGAATTACAGTCCATTATTATCCCCAAAGTTGAGGCACAGGCCTCTATGGCAGGAATCAAACAGAGAAAATTATACAAACATAAAAATTGTCACAGCTTATTTAGTTTTCATTTTGTATCGTTCTGTTGTGAGTTTTTTCGTGTGACAAACCACACGTTTTACATTTCATCTCTTTATATTTCATAAATATTATCTGTCCTCATCCTACACATCAGCCCTGCGATTCTTATGAAGTATATTCTATTGAAGTACATTAGTTCCCGAAATCACACTAGATGTCGCCACGGTACGTTCTTGATTTCTGCATGACAACTTTTCCGGTTTTCTTTCATGTTTAAAAGTAAATTAGTTTTGAAAATTTAATGAACAACTCAAATTCTATTTGTACTTTTTCGTATTTGTATTGATATCTAAGTTTCGAACTTTTTAAATTCATTTTTTTAATATTTTAGTTAAAAGGAACGAAAATGACTATCTTTGGTGCATTCGTTTCCTGCAAAATTCAACTTTTGCTAGCGTCGCCATCTAGCGGAGGTGCTTTTATAGTGCTTTCGTTTTTTTTTAATACTTCCATTCGTATTCACTCAGGTTTCCGAATACACTTCAAATAGCCGCATCCGCTCAATCTTAAATTAGTAATAATGTTTGTAGCATAAGTGAAGTGAGTTTCGAAATGACATAGGAATATAATATCTATGACACGTACATTCGATCGATTTTGTTTTGTATTTTAATACAAATAATGGAATCAATATAATTTCTACACTCAATGACGTGAATTGGGAATGACACATGAGGGAATTCGAAATCGGGTCTGGATGTTTACTGAATCGCAGGGCTGGTCAGAAAATAATTACTTACTTAATAATTGTGTTAATTAAGGTTGAGATGTTCATGAATTTATCGATAGACAAAGGTAATAAATAAATGTTTTTGATAGTAATATATCTGAATGTATAATTATATTGTACAGGATACATCTGCATTTGGCATAATGCATTTTCTAACAAGAATATAAACTTTAAAGTGGTTTCCGATAACAATTAATCTATCTGAATTAGTCACGCACATCGTTAATTGGTATCACAGATGTAGCGATCTAGCTCGATCATTTAGCGGGTAGGCAGAAAAGACCTAATGTCACAAGCCACTGTCCTTACATACATTTTCTGGCTGCTCGACAGTTGTCCTCAACTCTTTTCATACTTGCTCATCAGTTTTAATTATAGCACGAGATCGATGTGATCGTGTAAGGTGTGACTTTTTACATTTGTTTACTAAAATATGATTTAACATTATGAAACTATAAAAAATGTTCTCTCATTGTTGTGTTTTGCATTTGGAGGTAGCATCACAAGTTGCGAAACTTGAAAAATTATTCAAAATTAACCGATTATCGATAGATTTATTTTATCGATAAAATGTTTCTATGGAAAATGATGAAATTGAAATTTATTGGACACCGTAATTAAATTTAACAATTGTTTGATGTGACGGTATATAAGTACATTATGTATTTTTTTAGTTTGGCTGTATGTAGGGGTAAAGTACATTTTGTGGGCGTGTTTTGTGTTTGAGACAGAGAAGCAGCCGCGTTCACTGTACAACGAATAGCACATCAAATAATAATACAAAATTGACTTTTTTCTGTACAAATCCAAAATAGATTATAAACTTTGATGCGTTAGTAATAGAGTACATATTTGATTGTGTAAATATGATGTGTATATCTTTCAAAGAAATACCCATACGGTTAGAACATCTTTATTGGTCAATAGGTCCCACATGCGGTTTGCTAGAATTTATTTGATGTATTATTCGATGGTCGATATGCCCGCATGCGGGGTGCGGGGTACTTTGTATCACTCGCAGAAGAATAACGACAGCACTATAGACTTGACGCATTTACACTGGTCGATGACATCCGAGTGCGGGCCCTTTCTGTTCTTTGCTTCAATTGGTCGGTCATTGTTTTATTGACCAATGAGATCAGTGCGCAGAGTACCTGCACTCGACTTGCTAAACCCATCGACTAGTGGTAATAATATCCTAATGAGGACCAACGAACGAAACAATGAAGATGAACCTTAATATTCTGAAGGTACTCTTTAAGCATATGGTTACTGAATTCTGAATTTATTTCGCTGTGTATTATTGTTGTCTTAGTTGGAACGTGTCTGCACACATTGTTCATACTTTAAAACTTAAGTTAGTTTTTTTATTTAATTCATACGAATATGGACCTTATTTTACATGTTTTGATTCCCTATTAGTGAATAAATGTTGATAAAACTTATGTGGTTGGTTGTCTTATTGTTTTGCTAAAGTATTTATTATTCAAACTTCCTTTTTAAAGTTTTCGACCCTAGTATATATAATAAATATATAAAGTTTTCCAGTCAGTATTAAATCAGTTAAACCCTAAGGTTTACGTTGATATTTGTTTGTCTATTCTTACGATTTCAAGTTTTGAAACTTTGAAAGTTTTGTAGAATACATTATTATTTGATTCATTCAAAGTTCATTTTAGTTTACAAAAGGTTATTAGCACTTAATAGATGCCCAGATAAAAGCACCTGTGGACTAATTGTGTCATTTTAAAATCTATTGCTATCTCTTTCGAACGTTATAGCGATATTTGGAATCATGTAACCTTTAAAGTCGCAATTGATTTTGGAACAAATAAGACACTTAATAAAACTTGGTAACTTAAATATTTACGTTGCTTTCAATATTAACGCTTGCAATAGATAATTACAAAAAGCGCTACGATCGCAATCGGCATCACATGTCATGTAGTTGTAGCGTGAAGTTCGTGAATAACTTCAAAATTACACAATTGGACTTCAGATATCATAGAACGCCTCGAAGGAGACGAAAGAAACGAAATTTAAAATTACTCTATATGAAAACATACGCAACGTCTCCACTACGTTTTAGGGTTCCGGTCCGAAAAATAATAGCGGGACCCGGGACCCCAGTAGGCTACTACTAAAAAATCGTTGTTCGTCTGTCTGCCTTATTATGAAACTGCCCCTCAATAGCGATGCCACTATAACCCTTCATGACACTGTTCTTGTTGCTAGATCACAAAATAAATGTAGGTATCCGCCACCGTTCATTTGTGAGGTAAACATTGCACTAATATTGGATTTCAGGTAGATAGTACATTGGTAAAATACAAGCATTTAACAAACTTAATAGAATTGAGACCCAGGCTATAATATTTTATGAACCGTGATAGCTAGACACTTGAAATTTTGCTATGTATTTCTGTAGAAGATATAACGACAAAAGCTGAGAATGAAATAAATGTATAAGGTGGCACCCATACAACAAACGTGATTTTTTTTTCATTTCTCATAGATAATGGCACTACAGCATACTTCCAAGTCTGACTGTAATCTATAATAGTATAATATAATCTATAATATCTATAATCCATCGAATATCGAACCCATATTGATCAATAATAGGCTAGTTGACAACTTTGATTTTATAAGTAAATAATAGTCCATTAATATATGAGAAGTAATGTGGAAGTAACAGCAGTTCTGCGATTGTTAGTTTTGGTGATATGGTGCTGTTTGTAGAACTGCTGCTAGTCGGTCGCAAACGCTCTATACAAATTCAAAGCACTAAGTGACGTCATACGGTGCTACGGTAGCGAATAACGTATAGGCGTCTGTGTAATCTTTGCGATATCTTTGTTATTTGTGCGT